CCATGAGTCCTTGCATAGTGATAAGGAGGCCCAGAACTGAGATTGGGGCTAAGGAGTAGAGAAAGGAAAGGTTGCTGTAAGGAAGTGCGAGGAAACTGGATTTTGCTCCAAAAAGGAGGCAATATAAAAAAAGGAAAAGAGGACAAGGGAAAGGAGAGATATGGATGTCAAACTTTTTAAAAAAATTATTGTAGTTTGGGTGGAAGTTTACAGAGTAAATTAATTTTTTTATTAACAATTCTATTTCTTAATCTTTTCCTCAATGTACCCACACTCTTCCAGCTTCCTTTCTGTGGTCCCCATCTCCAGTCTTCCTTCTGTCCTGCTCCACTCCTGACTTCTGGGCTTCATTTTGAGGCAAAGGCTTGCCCCTTTGGTCAGGTATGGCTGATTATTCTGTGGCGGACAGTCCTCAGGAATGCTATTGTACATTTGATAGACTTATCTATTCATTGGTTGCAAGGTAAAACCTGAGGGTGGGTCTAGTTCTAAGTCAAAAGGTAAGGCAAACCTTCAACAAGAGGTTAGAGTCCACGGGAGAAAGATGAGGCTTTCTACTCCCGTGAAGACATATGGTGTCAGAAACCCACAGGGTCAGTCCGACCCTCTCCGATAGGGTTGCTAGAAGTTGGTATTGACTCAACGACAGGTTTTTGTTTTATTTTTTCTTTTAAAAAAAGTTTTGTTTAATATGTCATTTTAAATTGTTATGCTGTCATGACATTATACCTCTACTTCCCAGAACCTCTAAGAACATCGGCTTCCTATTAAATTCTAGTTGAGTGATCCCGCTCCCCAAATGAAGTCTATTCATCATTTGCTTTTTATTTTTCCCCAGATTGATTTTATGTATATCTGACCAACTCTGAACTTCCCCTTAAACCTGTAGCCTGAATTATATATGTGATACCTCCTCTGTGTTGTAACACTGTAAAATGGCATTTTATTCTTTACTTGTATTCTTTCAATCTCCATTACTTTCTTCATCTTGGTGATCGTAATATTGGGGTTTTAAACTTAGATGTTTAAAACATTTTTGATAAAATTTTGATGGATGGATGATGGGCGGGGGGGGCGAGTATGAACAAGAATTCTGTGATTCTTCTGCACATTTGGATGGTGGATGGTTTATATGAACAAGAGAAAACTGAGACCACAGGCTTCCAAACCTGCTAAACATCTGTTATCTTGATGGTGTAGGAAAAATCTATAGGAATTAAAGTTTGTCTTTATCTCCCACATTCATACTTCTTTTCCAGTGCCCTTCCCCTTCATCCTCCTTAAAAGCTCTCGAGCCC